TAAATAAATAAAATCTTTAAATCATAAAAAAAAGCAATAAAGACACGTACAAAAATGCACTGAGGAACTAACTATTCAAAGGAGCTCTTGGGTAAATATTTTTGAAAAGTGAAGAAATATAATAATGTGAATGACTGAACACTATTTTATCTGCATTGTAACATATTTCTATATATCGGGTGGGGGGGGTTGTAATATAGGCAGGACCTACCTTCTTAAATAATAAAAAGCAAGTAAGTTACCTAAGAAAGCTCTAGAAAGACTACTGAAGAGCAATTAGAACTCACTTTCTGGATATTATTATGAAAAACGCGCCTAGCCAGTTTGCCTCAGTGGATAGAGTATCGGCCTGCAGACTGAAGGGTCCCGGGTTTGATTCCACTAAAGGGCACATGCCTGGGTTGCTGGCTCAATGCCCAGTAGGGGGCATGCAGGAGGCAGCGGATCAATGATTCTCTCTCATCATTGCTGTTTCTATCTCTCCCTCTTCCTTCTCTGAAATCAATAAAAATACATATTTTTTAAAAAAAGGAAAAAGAAAAATGTAAGCAGTTATCAGTATGCAATGAGTTAAGGGCAATTTTATCCAGAATCAGAGTGGCCAGACAGCTTCCTGTAATCCATCATTATTTCTCAAACACATCTTTGAAGCATTTAGACTTAGGTCTGCTTAAAGAACTTAGGGCTAAAAAAGGAAGTTAACACATGGGCTCTCTTATTATTGTATTCTGCCATGGTGATTCTTAGAGTAGCAGGAAGGAACATGTACTATGTTACATGGGCTAGAATTAGAAGACAGAGGGTTCATAGTTAAGGTGAAACAGTTGTCTTAGCTTTGAATTCTTTTGCTTTTTTTAGTTTTTTTGTTGCCTTGCTGTAATATAAATACAACTTCATTTCAAAATATCTAATCACAGATTTTTCCCAGTTCTGTTCTCGTTTTATTTTTGACATATACATACAATTACAGTTTCTGTTAACCAATTAAAACTACAATTATGTTCAGTAGAATGCCAAGAAAGTTCAAGAGTCACATTCAAGGCTTGTAAAAGATTCACTTACCACTGGATTTAATTTCTCGGACATAATTACTAGGGAACCAGCCTGTTCTCCCATTTAATGTGCCTTCCCACCAGCCTCCTTCTTCAACTCTAGTGACGTAAATGATGTCCCCTTTACAGACTGACAGTTCATCTTCATTAGTCTGCTTAAAGTTGAATCTTGCCTTTACTATCAACTGGTGACTTCCATTTTCAGTCATTTCCTAGAGAAACAAAAGCCACACCAGATGAAGCACTCATCTAAAAGAGGCAGGGGCAAAAATTATATGAACTTAAGAAAATTGAGTGGGGTAACCTAGGATAAACCCAAGGTCATCTCAGTCTTGTGTTTTTAACTTAGGAGTTGGCCTAGCATGGATAGGTCTCAGTGGGAATTAATAAATCCCTCAAAACTGTATGCAAACTTTTGTATTTGTGAGACTGTGTATTTTGGAGGGAGTCATAGCTTTCATTTCCCTCTCCCCCTATCAATTATCTAAACCAGTGGTTCTCAACCTTCCTAATGCCACAACCCTTTAATACAGTTCCTCATGTTGTGGTGACCCCCAATTTCATTGTTACAAATTGAACATAATTAAAGCATAGTGATTAATCACAAAAACAATATGTAATTATATATGTGTTTTCCGATGGTCTTAGGCGACCCCTGTGAAAGGGTCATTCAACCCCCAAAGGCGTCGTGACCCACAGGTTGAGAACTGCTGATCAAAAGATATTTTAAATGATCCAGGAAACAAAGGACAGTGGCACACTATTCTATCCTGCCTCTACCCAACACATAGACCTATCTTATGTAATTATATGACCAAGATTAGGTACTAATCTACTCTAATAACATGTGTCTTCCACATCCCAATTACTAAGAATATCTTAAATTGGCTAAGACTTAGTCGTAGGCATAGATTAAATACCCCATAGTTACTTAAGTCAGTAGTTCTTAACTTATCACAAGCCCCTTTGAGAAACTGATGAGTACAATTGAACTTTTCCCAAAACACATATACCCCTAAGTTCACACACAGATTTTGCACACAGTTTGAGATGGTCTGAGGAATATAGAACCATAGTATTCATGAGCTTCTCAAAGGGATCTGTGATCTCCAAAGGTTAAGTGCTTTGGAAGTAATTAAAGTGTTTTGGAAGTAATAGCTCTTGATAGCTTAAAGCAAGTGGGTGGCTTTGACAGAAATAATGCCTCAAAAGGGCAGAAGATGGGGTGTTCCTTCCTAAACAAAAGCTCCTGTTAAGGCTAAATGCAAAGATAACTGGGCTATCCCAATATAGGAGCTCATTATAAGCCCAATGTAAGTACAAAGAGAAAAATAAAATGACAATAGCAAGTAATATTGATTGCCTACTATGTGCCAGGCACTATTTGTTCTCCTAATAAACTGAGTGATGGGGAAAATAACAGCAATCTGCCATCAGGAAGTAGTCATAATGACATATATACATAGTATTCTCAGTTAAACAACTTGCTCAATTTTAGGAAGAGAGAATTTGGGAGCTTTAACCTCAATTTTTCTGACTCTGTGCCCCACATACCTTTGATTTGTTCCAGGGGCCAGCCTGAATTTGTGCTAGGTTTAAAATTAGTTTTCTCCAGACTCCCCAAACAAACAGGATGGCTATCTTACTATATATGAAAATTCAACCGAGTTATCGATCGAACTTCATGGATTTTAAAACAGGCAGGGGGAATTGGGAGCAATACTTACCACTGCCTTTGACTGCCTTTGCAGCCTTGGAGCTGTGCTAGAAACTGCTCCCTGTGGGTTTGTCTGAGAACTATTAGCAGCACTAAGAGAAGAGGAACGTCCACATGGTCTTTCTGATAGCTGATCTGTGAAAAGAGGAAAAGGCATGATAAAGGGAACCACTCATGTCAGAAAAACATCTACAACATAACATCTTTCATGGGACACTATCAAAGGCAACCTGGCTATAATTCTAACTATCACCATTATGAATGTGCCAAGTATATTTCATCCCCCCTCCCTTTTTGGTGGCCAACTTCTTTTTCTTAACCTTACTGGCCATTGCTCTCCAGTAGAATGAAAAACAGCGACAGAGCCAC